ACAAGTAGTGGGAAGACATTTACCATGAGAGGAATCACTGAAAATGCTGTTAAGGACATCTTTGAACACATAAAAATTGTAAGTTACTATTTGATAAATAAATTGTTGTGTTGGGATTTGCTCCTGTCATCATGCTTAAGTATTTCAATCTCTCAGACACAGGAGAGAGACTTTGTCTTAAAACTTTCTGCACTGGAGATATACAACGAGACTGTTGTTGACCTTTTGAATCGTGATTCTGGTTGCTTGAGACTTCTGGATGATCCTGAGGTATAAAATGGAGCTTCTTTTCAATTCTTTATTGAGAGAATAAAGCCTTTTGATATTTTGACAGTTTCCATTTTGAAATTTTGTTTTGTAAAATACAGAAAGGTACCATCGTTGAAAAACTTGTCGAAGAAGTCATCAAGGACAGCCAACATTTGAAGCACTTAATTGGCATTTGTGAAGGTAAATTTATAATTATGAGATGCAATTATTTATCTGGTTAGTCTTATTGGTTTTGCTCATATATCTTCCTACATCAATATTTTAGGCTCACTCATAATTTACCATTAACTGACTTAGCACTTGTATAATCAATAACATTTTGTACTTAACAAACTCTGCAGCACAAAGGCAGGTGGGAGAAACCGCTTTGAACGATAAAAGCTCAAGGTCACATCAGATTATCAGGCTGGTAAGACAGAACTGTTTCTTTTTTCTCAATTCATTTCAAATTTTATTAGTGGCTGCATTCTGTTTGAGTTAAGTAGGCAACCTCCCCTGTGCATTGCAATAGTTTCTGCCTTTTTCCTTTCTTTGCATTGGTAAAGAATGTATAAATTGCACTAGTAACTAATCTGTTGATTCCAATGCTTGATCCATCTGTTTTCTTTCTTTTCCAAGTTTGACCTTTTCTATGTGCCTGAGGGTTGCACAAAGAAGGCTATCTTTTTCTGCATTCATTTTGTCCACTCTACCTCCCTATTGACAAAAGTATTCTTGAATTCTCATTTATTCGTATTAGCTTGCTGACACAAGTAACAACTTGATTCATAATTGATTAAGACTTCTAATAAACCATCTAGAAGTGCTAGAGATACAGAGTTGTTCTTTTAGATTTGTCTTTTAATCAACTAATGAGCTCTCTCTCTGACACATACACACTTGCACATTAGTATGTGGTTTGTTTCGAATCACAACTATGAGCCACTTTTGTTGATTTTATTTGTGCCTGAGTACTATATTCCCACTTCATATTCCATGAGTAAGGTGAAAACCTTACACTGCTTGGATCATTCTTTGCAGACCATTGAGAGTAGTCTTCGGGAAAATTCAGAATGTGTGAAGTCTTTCTTAGCAAGTTTGGTATGTTTAATAATTTTTTGCGTTGTTTTACATCCTGGATCATAAACTATTGTATGGTTAGTTTGACCAAGACACCATATTGCAGAATCTTGTGGACCTCGCAGGAAGTGAACGTGTCTCTCAAACAAATGCTGATGGTGCAAGACTGAAAGAAGGTAGCCATATTAACCGCAGCTTGTTGACACTCACAACAGTGATTAGAAAGCTCAGGTGAGCTAAATTCATCTTGGGCTTCCGCATGCAGTTGTAGAATCAAGAAATTATTTCAAGAAAAAAAATTATTTTTATGTCATGTTTGTATGCCAATGAATGACTCTTCACATCAACAATAAGTGATGTTAGAAACCTTAAATGTATAATTTTTTGTGGGAAATTGGAGTTCATGAGAAACTTGGTTTACTTTGTGTTTTTTTTTGTGCAGTGGTGGAAAGAGAAGTGGTCACATACCATATAGAGATTCGAAACTTACACGCATACTGCAGAACTCACTTGGGGGAAATGCTCGAACAGCAATTTTATGTACCATCAGTCCAGCTTTAAGTCATGTAGAGCAAACTAGGAATACTCTCTCTTTTGCAACTAGTGCAAAGGAAGTCACCAACAATGCCCAAGTAAACATGGTAAGATAAATAGATAACTAACAAAATTAGTATGTTCCATTTTCTTTATGCTGTAAAAATGGACTGCTGAAGTTAATTTTATGGTGGCACCTCCCCAACATGTGGGTCTCAACTCCTAGAGCAAAGAAGATAAATGGATCAACATCATGTGTGTAGAATGGCAGATAGCCCCTGTTGTTCAAGGGGGATTTCTGGTTACCAAAGGAACTGGATTCGGTTCTGTGACTTCTGAAAGTATTCTCTAGAGTTGCATGTTCAAAGTATACTTATACATACATCAGATATATGTTTGTCTGATGTGCCAAACAATTATACAATTTTAATGTTATCACTAAGTATTATGCTGTTTGCACAGCAGAGTCTGCTCTTCATTTTAATTACTCAGATATAAGTCGTACAAACTTCTTTATTATTTTTGTGAGCTTTCTTTACAGGTTATTGCGGACAAAAGGTTAGTAAAGCATTTGCAGAAGGAAGTAGCAAGGCTTGAAGCAGAGCTACGAAGTCCAGAGCCTTCTTCTGCTTCATGCTTAAAATCTTTATTGATGGAAAAGGAATTGAAAATCGAGGAGGTATACATATTTCATAGAGAAAGCAGAAAAACTACTCTTTTTTATAGGAGATGTTTTCTAACAAGGAGTATGTTCTTTCTAGATGGTGAGGGAAATGGAAGAGTTAAAACGCCAGAGAGACACTGCACAATCCCTATTAGAACTAGAAAGAAAAGCACGCAAGGTACAAAAGGTAAACATATTAGCTAACTATGGTATCTATTTTCAGTTGTGTCATTTTCTGACTTTCATCTTATTATGTTTTCAGGGACTGAACCAAGGTGGTCCTTCTGGCCAAGTAGTCAGATGTCTCTCATTTTCTGTTGACAATGAGCCAGTTCCAGGTGCTCCAGATTCTCAGCCTAGGAAAACGATCGGAAGACATTCAACACTAAGGCAGTCAGCCACCTCGACAGATCCATCCATGCTTGTTCATGAAATTCGAAAACTTGAGCAGCGACAGAGGCAGCTTGGTGAGGAAGCAAATCGGGCACTTGAAGTACTACATAAGGAAGTTGCCTTCCACAAATTTGGGAATCAAGAAACTGCTGAAACAATAGCAAAGATGCTTTCCGAAATTAAGGACATGCAAGCAGCTAGCTCCATTCCTGAAGATATTGTGATTGGGGATGGGACCAACTTGAAAGAAGAGATCACTCGGTTGAACTCTCAAGGCAGCACTATTGCATCGCTAGAGAAGAAGCTTGAGAATGTTCAGAAATCTATAGACATGTTGGTTTCAAATCTTTCAAATGGTGAAGAGACGCCGGAGTTCAAGACCCAATTGAAGAAGAAGAAAATTCTTCCTTTCACATTGAACAATAGTGCAAACATGCAAAATATAATACGGGCTCCATGCTCGCCATTATCTTCTTCCCGAAAGACAATGGAATATGAGATTGAGAACAAGGCCCCTGAGGATAATGAAATGCTCTCTCGCAGCCATAGATCGCCAGGCAAATTTAAAACTACCCCTCCAAAGGCTGATGATAAACACGCCTCATCAAGAGATGGAACTCCCTCGACAAGGCAAACCAGCTCAGTTGATGTGAAGAAAATGCAGAGGATGTTCAAGAATGCAGCTGAGGAGAACATACGCAGTATTAGAGCTTATGTCACTGAGTTGAAAGAACGGGTGGCCAAGCTACAATATCAAAAGCAGCTTCTGGTTTGCCAGGTGACAACTGTTTGGCATCTTTAGTTTTTGTTTTTGTACACATGTTGAGTACTAGCAAATGTCTTGAAATTGATATTTTGGGTTGAAAATCTTCCCTTATTCCACCTTTGCTTAGGTGTTGGAACTGGAAGAATCAAATGAAGCTGGACCTGATGAGACAGATCGTATTCTTCAATCTCCCATGCCATGGCATCTAGTGTTCGAGGATCAGAGGAAGCAGATTGTCATGTTATGGCACTTGTGCCATGTTTCAATTATACATCGTACGCAGTTTTATTTGTTGTTCAGAGGAGACCAAGCTGATCAGATATATATGGAGGTTGAGCTTAGAAGGTTGACATGGTTGGAGCAGCATTTTGCGGAGCTTGGCAATGCAAGCCCAGCACTTTTAGGCGATGAACCTGCAGGTTCAGTCGCATCAAGGTCAGTCATGTTCTTATAAAGGTTTATCCATGATTTTCTATTTTCTATGTTCTTTTTTTTCGTGGGATTTCTCTTCATCTGAAAGATCATGTTGTTTCTTGGTGTTGAATGCAGTATCAGGGCACTTAAGCAAGAAAGAGAGTATCTAGCTAAGAGGGTGAGCTCCAAACTGTCAGCAGAGGAAAGAGAGATACTCTACATGAAATGGGAAGTTCCACCAGTAGGAAAGCAGAGGCGGTTGCAACTGGTTAACAAGTTATGGACAGACCCTTTGAACATGCAACACGTGCAGGATAGTGCTGAAGTCGTCGCCAAACTTGTAGGCTTTTGCGAGTCTGGTGAACATATCAGCAAGGAGATGTTCGAGCTCAATTTTGTTAACCCTTGTGATAAGAAGTCATGGATGGGGTGGAATTTGATTTCAAACCTCTTGCATTTGTAAACAAAAATCATGTTTACTCCTATTCATTCTTTGTTATATTTTGATAAAATAGGATTATTTTTGTCAAACTAGCTGACATAGAACCTCTGCTCACATCTCCCCTTTGTAAATTTACCTTGGAAATCGGAAATTTGTGGTAGAAAATGGTTAGAATTTTCTTGTAAAAATCTTCCATCCTAGTGTTGATATATGTTCCTGAATTATCCACAAATCTTCTTAATTATTGAATTGGAATTCTCTCAACCATTGCAACACACTCTTATGAACTATCTAAAATTTTAGATTATGGGTTTTATGTCTTGTTTTGCTGGTTTTTTTTTTTTTTAACTCCTTTTTATTTTGGCTTTAGAAAGATACACAAATGGTGGGGGTATAGTCTGGCAAAAGAAAAAATGAAGGGGGTATAAGAGTATTTTTACCTATATCGTTGCTGAGAGTGCCAAGCTGCAAAGGCTTAACCTTTACCCTAATTAAGCCCTTTCTCTCGCTTGCTCGCTCGCACACGTCCTCTCTCTGGATTGCCGTTACTGAACCTGAGAAACAAGCCAAGCTACCCCTTTTGCGAACTTAACAGTTAGACAAAGAAGCCAATCGAAAAATGGGAAGAGAAACTCCAAAACAGCAACAACAGGTTTCTTACACAGTGGAGCAGCTTGTGGCAGTTAATCCTTACAATCCCGACATCCTCCCCGATCTCGAGAACTATGTTAACGAGCAGGTTCCTTTTTTTGTTAATACCAATCAGCTGTTTCAGTTATAAATTTTCGCCATTTCGATAAACTTATAGTTTTTTCTTTTTAAAAAATGGTTTTTTAATTCGTTTGATATAAAAGTTTGAGCATCTTGGATTTTGGGTCCTATATTTGGTTGGATGAAGTCCGATTCAGCTTTGATTTGGATGGATGCTGGCATTATGACGACCTAAATATGGTTGCTTCTTTAGTCCCTTCTATAGATTTTTGTACATTTAATTAATGGGTAATGTTGAAGGGGCCTGTAATGTGACTATTATCGTTATTGGTGAAGAATCTTTATGTACCTGCAGTAATATATGGACTAGAACATTTGGACCATTCAATAACGAACAGCTTCTTATATTTGCGGTTAGACTGAATTGTTATGAAATTCTTCATAAGTTCGATAAAATCTTTGACTTTTTGTTTGGGTCCTCCTGCTGTGAACCTAGTAGGATGTCTGTGATGATGCTTGATCTGTTAATGGTGGAATGCAACTTATTTGGGCAAGCCCCTCAAATTCGGTTTTATACTTGAGTGAAAAACAAGTTTTAAATTAGAAGTGGGAAAAGGACACACTCACATATAGTGGAAGTTGTTAAAATGATAACAACTTTTATGTTTACCAGGTCTCATCGCAAACATACAGTCTGGATGCTAATCTTTGCCTTCTTCGCCTATACCAGGTATGGTCATTCTCTCTTCTTCTGTCTTGTTTGTTAGTGTGTGCATGTGTCTGTCTGTATGTGGGAGATAGAATGGAAGGGAGAGAAAACCAAGTTCTGTATTCTAGTTGAATGTGGTTCTTTATACGGTATAATGTATTATTTGCATTTTTTGTTTCATACTGGTTATTATTTCTAGTTTATCCTGTCTTAAGAAGGAGAAAGATATAATGTAATTCAGGTTAGAAAAAACTTGTAAGTTTTTCAATTGTTTCTAATATGAAATTTTTTTTGTCCCTATAGTTTGAGCCTGAGCGAATGAGCACCCAAATTGTTGCACGCATTTTGGTTAAGGTATGTTTAGGCCCTTCCTCTATCCAATTAGAATTATGGATCAGTTTATTAGCGCGATATGTGTTTCTAATGCTTTGTTTCCTCGTTCCCCCCCGACTACTTTTGTGCAGGCCCTCATGGCAATGCCAGCTCCAGATTTCAGCCTTTGTCTCTTTTTGATTCCAGAGCGAGTGGTATCATTCTCACAGTATATTTTCCTTTTAGCTTTTCATTTCAACTACATTTAAACATCAGCAATTAAGCATGTTTGAATGAGCATTGGCATAGGCTGCTAGCCTTGGGTCTTGGGCTTCATCAAGTTTTGTGTTAAATTATGACAGTCTAGACCTTCCAAGAGGCCAGGCCCTCGCATGTGAGTTACAAACATGTAATCAAGGAAAATTGGGAAATAATTGATTCTTGTTATCCAAAAGAGTTTACTAGATTCTTGTGTCATTATAAGTCTTTAATCATTGCAGTAATATAAAGGTATATTTTCTTTGTTAAACTTGAAAATTTCTTCTATGTTCTTTAGCAGTGCATAAGTCCCGCTTATGTCTACTTAAAGTAAGTTATGATAAGTTAAATAGTTGACATCTTAAGTATGTTTGCATATACATACACATGAGAACTATTTATGTAAGCACATTCATGCGTCAAAGAGATCATAATTGTAAAATCTGCAAATTCTTCTTTGTTTTCTATTTCATCATTCCATATTTAGCAGAAAAAATTTTGGCCAACAGTAAGTATGCTTGTGTTATTCTAAGTAATTCTTTGTGTGTGATATCAGCAAATGGAGGAGCAGTTCAAGACACTGATTGTTCTCTCCCATTATCTGGAGGTATGTATTTGTTTTCTTTACTAATTCATGAACAGTAATGAGATGGATGATTTCATTCTACCTATATCATTTGCAGACAGGAAGATTTCGTCAGTTCTGGGATGAAGCAGCTAAAAGTCGTCATATAGTTGAGGCTGTGCCAGGTAATAATAAACTCTGATGTTGTGAATTTTATGTATTTAATGTCTGCATTTTTCATTTGAATGGATGAACATTACCGGCTTTTAAGAATTATTGCAAAATGTGAATTTTACTGAGAAATGTACAGAGGTTCCTTTACCATGGAACATGTATACATTGTAAATTAAGATAAACTAGTGCTTGGACTGGTGGGTATTCATTAGTTAGACTTCTGGCCCTTTTCCACTGGGGCATTGAGTGCAGGATTTTTAGGTTTGTCTGATAAATTTATACATGGGTGTAGTTCAGGACATGTGTCTTGTTTTTGCTCTGAAGACAACTTCTGAGCGTCTATTTTTGTTATGGTAACCATTGAATAATCTGGCTGTTAACTATTGTCATTTACGAAGACATTGTTCTTTTATTGCTCCTCTTTTGTGTATGATGAACATATTCGTTTGTGCTTTTCAAGTGTGTGGCTTACCAGATGATTGAATGCCAGGTTTTGAGCAAGCAATCCAGACATATGCAATTCATGTCCTTTCTCTGACTTATCAAAAGATTCCTAGACCTGTACTTGCTGAGGTATGTAGAGCTCATTTGTTCCATATGCAATTCATGTTGTTGTGATTTGATCATCTATCTTCATTATTGGTTACATGTATGAACTTAAGCTTTGGTTTGGGTTTGTGACAGGCTATTAACATTGAAGGTTTGTCCTTGGATAAATTCCTTGAACACCAGGCAGCCAACAGTGGTTGGATTCTTGAGAAGGGTCATGGCAGGGGTCAACTAATAATCTTACCTCGGAACGAATTTAATCATCCTGAGCTAAAGAAAAGCGCTGCTGATAGCGTTCCATTGGAGCACATCACCCGTATTTTCCCCATTCTTGGCTAAACTCCTCTGGGGACGAAGAATTTTTGGAGTTATTTCCCTTATATGTTTCAATGATGCTGGCATGCTGCCACCCTTACTTTTTGTTTTTGTCTTGGATATAGAACAAGCAACAAACTATTTTAGGATAGACTTGTCAACTTATCTAAAAAATTTACTTTTCTTTAGCTTTGTTTTGTCACTCATCAGAATATAGTTATTTATTACTTATCATGCAGTGAGCCAGCCTCTCCTGAAAATTTCTCTTAATATGTTCTACTTGTCTATGAGCGAAGCCGGTACCAAGTCCAACCACTATTTTTTCTTTGAAAGGTAGAAGTTTATAACTAAAAGTAGTTGATTTACTTACCATGTAAATTTCGAGTGGCCAATTTCCATTCTCTATCTCAGCACCATCCTTTCCCTTCTCCTGAATGTTAAAAATTATTTGTGAATTGCTTGCTTGCACATCAAGTGATAATGGAAAATTTTAGTACTAGCAAGTATTTAACATGGATGTTACTGTTACAAACAAGGATTAGGAATGGAACGTAGAACATTTTGTAGGCCCCAGTGGTAATACTTTCGGACTGTAATCCAAATGACCTAATGTAACTCCGAGAATTATGAGAAGAGGAGCATCCAGATTTCTTTGAGGTTTGTAGTGCTAGGGTGATGGCGCCATTTGCAGATCAGACGTGGGCGTTTGGTCTAGTGGTATGATTCTCGC